GTAGTAGTAGTAGTAGTAGTAGTAGTAGTAGTAGTAGTAGTCGTAGTAGTTGTAGTAGTAGTAGTAGTAGTAGTAGTAGTAGTAGTAGTAGTAGTAAAAGTAGTAGTAGTGGTAGTAATAGTCATCGTCGTAGTCGTAATCGTAGTAGTGGTAGTCGTAGGTAGTCGTAGGTAGTAGTAGGAGTAGTAGTAGTAGTAGTTGTAGTCGTAATCGTAGTCGTAGTTGTAGTCGTGGTCATAGTCGTAATCGCAGTAATCGTAGTAGTAGTAGTAGTAGTAGTAGTAGTAGTAGTAGTAGTAATCGTAGTAGGAGTAGTAGTAGTCGTCGTCGTAGTAGTAGTAGTAGTAGTAGTAGTAGTGGTAGTAGTAGTAATCGTAGTAGGGAGTAGTAGTAGTCGTCGTCGTCGTCGTAGTAGTAGTAGTAGTAGTAGTAGTAGTAATCGTAGTAGTAGTAGTAGTAGTAGTAGTAGTAGTAGTAGTAGTAGTAGTAGTAGTAGTAGTAGTGTAGTAGTTAGTAGTAGTCGTAGTAGTAGTAGTAGTAGTAGTAGTAGTAGTAGTAGTCGTATAGTAGTAGTAGTAGTATGTAGTAGTAGTAGTAGTAGTAGTAGTAGTAGTAGTAGTAGTAGTTAGTAGTAGTAGTAGTAGTAGGAGTAGTAGTAGTAGTTGTCGTAGTAGTAGTAGTCGTAGTCGTAGTAGTAGTAGTAGTAGTAGTAGTAGTAGTAGTAGTAGTAGTAGTAGTAGTAGTACTAGTAGTAGTAGTCGTTCGTCGTCGTCGTAGTAGTAGTAGTAGTAGTAGTAGTAGTAGTAGTAGTAGTCGTAGTCGTAGTCGTAGTCGTAGTCGTAGTAGTAGTAGTAGTCGTAGTAGTAGTAGTAGTAGTAGTAGTAGTAGTAGTAGTAGTAGTAGTAGTAGTAGTAGTAGTAGTAGTAGTAGCAGTAGCAGTAGCAGTAGCAGTAGTAGTAGTAGTAGTAGTAGTAGTAGTAGTAGTAGTAGCAGTAGCAGTAGCAGTAGCAGTAGCAGTAGCAGTAGCAGTAGCAGTAGTAGTAGTAGGAGTAGGAGTAGTAGTAGTAGGAGAAGGAGGAGGAGGAGCAGGGGGAGGAGGATCAGGAGGAGGATAGTAATATTGATGGAGGGAACAATGCAGGCATGAGAGGGTGAGGAGGAGTGGGAGAATGACAGACATGATGAGGGATGATGACGATGGAATGAGGATGATAATGCGAGAAGGAAGAAGCGGCTAGCGATGGCTATAAGAAGGACGATGATGCGACTGTTGAGACCCTTGGCCTTGCGATCCGTCGTCCTGCGTGTTGAGGAGGGGGTGCCCGCCAGATTCCGATTCAGGAGGTCATGACCCCTATCCCAGGCGCCCTGGTCATTATGGGAGCTCGTCGATCAGTCTGGCAGTTTCTTGGATTACCTTTGCGCGTCTCGAGCCTCATCCTCCTGACTCCTGCCCCTGCTGATGCTTCTGGTTCTGCTGCTAGCCACGCTTCTGCTGGTGCTTCTGCCGGTGCTGGCAGTGCAAGTCCGATTGCTGCCTTCGCTAGGGTTGCCGCTGGTGTGCTCGCGAGTTCCATCCGGGACCCTCTGTGTGCTCTTCAGGCCCTCTGGGGTCGTCTTCGGGCTCTTCTGGAGCAGCGCGGGCTGGAGACCAGCGTGGGCTCGCTCGCCGCTGCCCAGACTCGCGTCGCCGTGGTGCGCCCGGCAGGCCAACGCGCACTTGGAGATCGCTGGCGACACGCTGGAGGAGTGGGCGCGCCGCCCAGCAGCCCTGAGCGTGGCCTCTGCCCGCAGCGCACCCTCGTCGTTGGCTTCCCCTCTCGGTCCCCATCCAGGCCCTTGCAGGCGCCGCTCCGCCGACGGGAGTCATCCGGGCCAGCGTGGAGCGCCCAAGTCGATCCCGTGGTCCTTGCGTTTGTCTGGTGAAGGGCGCTCGATTTTGCGTACGGTGGCCCTTTGCAGCCGCGTTGCGGGATGGGAGCGTTGTCCTTGTCCTCGCGTTGCATACGATCCGCCCCAGGCATTTGCGCACGTCGCCAGCGATAGTCGCACAGGGAGAGGAGGTCCAGACAAGGGGGAGGAGGGCTCTGCGGCTGGAGACATACCCCCCAGAACCCCGCAGTCCAGGAGAAACAGCGAAGCTTGGCCGAGTTGGTGCAGCTGGCGAGTTCTCTTCTGGTTCTCCCCACAGCGTTTGCCGCAAAGGTTTCCAACATGGTCCCGACAGATTGTGTATCCTGTTGCCATTGTCGTCTTTCGTCCAGCACTAGCTCCACCTAATCAGTGCCGGCTGGCCACGCTGCCGTTGGGATACCCGTTTCATTCGACACGATCTACGGCTAGTCCCGCTGCTGTCGAGATGTTTCCTTCCTTCGCCGCTGGCCCTGGCTGGCCCTGGCTAGCTCCTACTTGTCTCGCTATCGTAGGGGTTTCTTTTCGTGGGATTTCGATTCGTTCGGCGTCAGCCCCGACTAGCCCTGGTTGAGATGCATCCCTTCAAACTGCATGCAATGGTGCTTACGTGAGGGATGTTGCTGTCTTTCCGGTGTTTGTGGTCCACGTGCCAGTAACAGCGTTCCAAGTGCGCACAGCGCATCTCAGATGTTGTGAGTTTTTTTCCAGTCCAGGCGATTTTCTCCATGTTCAACAGCATCTTCCAATTGTTCAGCTTCTCAGGCACTCATGTTGCAGTTTTCCTATGCGGTTGTGTTCGGGTCGGCCATTGACGGGTTTAAGACGCGAAGGAGAACCTCAGTAGCACAAACAATGCTCTGTGGCCCTGGGAGATAAACGGCCAGCCAGCGGTGGACGCAGCCTGGCATCAGGTAGCCAGCGCCCAAGTAAGCGGAGACACCTCATTGCTAACACATCGCTGCCCTCAGTATGGGTGCCCAGCACTGCACAGGCGCAAGTCTATCGGCGAGGTATCGCCGATTCCAGGTCGATTTCTGCCCCCCCACCCCCCTCCCCCGCGGGACTCCCATCCCGCTAACACCATGTGGGATTACGAAACGGATAGTTTTGGTATCATATTTTGATGGGTCAGACTATTTTTTAATACTGGCTCAACCACCAACGCTTCAGTCACCCTCGCTAAGGTGCGCTGGGACAGCAACACCTCTGTGGGCGCCTACACCAAGCGCATGGCCAAGGGCGGATGGGGCGGAGGGATCGAGATGGCGGCCTGCGCATTGCTCAAGAAGGCGACCGCTGCGAGTGGGATGAGGAGGAGGAGGAAGAGGTGGAGGCGGAGGAGGAGCATGAGGAGGAGGAGGAGGAGGAGGAGGAGGAGGAGGAGGAGGACCAGTGCAAACCCAAGACGCATCAACGATGTTGCAATATACCTCCCTCCAGGTTTCATCTTCACAGGTAAAAGGATAACGTATTTTCATTGCGGGAAGTGGCCCATGAGACAAGAACCGTCTGATAATCCCCAACCGTGCCAACATAGCATTCTGGGGGTTTCAACGCCGTGACTCAAGGGACTGTTGCGTCCTGGCAATCCTCAATCCTTGTAGAGTGCTGTTCCTGGGAATTGAAGTCCGCGAATCAGCGTGATTCTTGCGGCCTGACAGTCCTGAACCGCGCCAGAACATCATTCCTGGGAGTTCAATCACGCGAATCCGTGAAACTAATGCAAGCTTTTAAGACGAAGGTGCGCGGTGCTGGGGCGAGAACCACATGTTGAAAAGGAGCCGTCCTCCATCCCAGAAGCTACGACAATTCTTAAAGACGCATGTGCGCGGCGCCAATGCGAGAGCCACATTTTGAAAACGGCCCGCCCTGTGTCCATGAAACTGTTGCAAACTTTTGCGACGAATGTGCGCGACATCAAGGCGAGAGCCACGTTTCGAAAACGGCCCGCCCTCCGCCTGTGAAACTGTTGCAAACTTTTACGACGAATGTGCGCGGCATCAAGGCGAGAACCACATTTTGAATACGACCCTCCCTCCATCAGTGAAACGGTTGCAAATTCTAAGCTCCAGGGTCATAAACGCTGAGGAAGTCTCAGGCGAAACGTCCTGCCCGTTCTACCGACACGTCTGGGGGTGCGGCAGGGAGAGATCGTTTATAAGGAAGAGGAAGGAGGCGAAGGACGAGGGAGGATGAGGAGGATGAGGAGGATGATGATGATGATGCTGCTGATGATGCTGCTGATGATGAAGATAATTATGATGATGCTGATGCTGATGCTGATGCTGATGATGATGCGGATGCTGATGATATTGATACTGATGATGATGCAGATGATGTAGATGATGATGCCGATGCCGATGCTGACGATGATGCTGCTGCTGATGGTGTTGGTGATGGTGATACTGATGATGAGGATGGGGATGATAAGGATGATCATGATGATGCTGCTGCTGATGATGCTGATGATGATGATGATAATGTTGACGGATAGTAGTAATAATAAGACTGATGTTAAGAACGACGACGATCCTGATGCTGATGATGCTGGTGATGATAAGGACGATGATGATGCTGATGATGATGCTGCTGCTGATGATGGTAATGACGAAGGTGATGCTGATGATGGTGCTGATGCTGATGATGCTGATGATGATGCTGATGCTGATGATGATGATGCGGATGAAGATTCTGCTGATGATGCTGATGATGATGACCATGATGTTGATGCTGATGTTGATACTGACGATGATGATGCCGATGCTGATGCTGATGCTGATGATGCTGACGATGATGATGACGATGGTGGTGGTGATGATGCTGATGATTCTGATGACGATGATGATATTGCTGCTAATGATGATGATGCTGATGATGCTGATGCTGCTGATGGTGATGATGACGATGCTGCTGCTGATGATGATGGTGATAGTGGTGGTGGTGGTCATGGTGATGATGATGATGATGATGATGATGATGATGATGATGATGATGATGATGAGGATGATGATGATGATGATGATGATGATGATGATGATGATGATGATGGATGATGATGATGATGATGATGATGATGATGATGATGATGATGATGATGATGATGATGATGATGATGATGATGATGATGATGATGATTATGATGATGGTGATGATGATGATGATGATGATGATGAGGAGGAGGAGGAGGAGGAGGAGGAGGAGGAGCAGGAGGAGCAGGAGGAGCAGGAGGAGCAGGAGGAGGAGAAACCCTCGTGCGATTGGCTCGGCGGCGGGAGGACAGCCGGGAGGCGTCTTTGTTCTTGGTGCTTTCCGGGCTTCTCTTGGGTAGGGCCCCGTGACAGCCTGCCTGGGCTTTGCCCCAGTGTACAGTCCTACCGAGGTAGCAGATCGAGGTCGGTGCGGCGAGGGTACCCTAGTGTTCTTCGCGTTTGCCGGATGTTCTTGTCCATCCTGGGGGGGGTACCCTTGGATGTTCTGTTTGTTTTGGCCGACGGAGGGTCTCATGTTCTTGAGGGATGTTCTTCTGACCTTGGTCCGACTGTAGTCTTCCTCTCCTCCCCTCCCCCTCCGTCTCTCTTTGCTCTTGCTTGTGCCCCAGTCCTCTCCTGTGCCTCTCGAGTGCATGACACATGGACGGGGTCCGAGGAGTTTGTATCTCCAATTCTGGCCTCCAGGGGCCCGTTTCCTGCCCTGGGACAGTCACAAATAGGTCCAGGATGAGAAACTGGCCAGACTGGGCCCTGAGATGGGGTTTGGGGATCGGTTCTGGGTGCTTTTCGCTTGTTCAATCCTTGAGCGTCCTCCTTTTGATCGGCCAGATTGTACCCGACCTGTTGCCAGCTGTGCACCGTTTATGGTGTTCAGCCCTCATTTAGGACGTATCAGTCCCGTACGTGTTGCCCACACCATGACAACCAGAAAGTGGGGGAAACGCTCGAGCGGGCTGTATGGATGGGGAGGGAGGGCAGCGGAGGAGATGAGACAGCGGATGGGCATTGGGGGTCTCCAGAAGATCGGGCGCCGGGGGAGGTCTTCTGTGGGGCGGCCCTTTTCGCCTGCGCGCAGGGGACCGCTCGTAAGAGCGCCCTCCTCGAGGTGCGGCGACGGAGCTACGCACCATGGCGTGCTACTTTTTGGACCGCGTGAGTGGGAGGGAGCAGCTAGGTTTCAGATGTTCCAGCCTACTTTAGTCTTGATCACCAGGAGGAGTTTCGAGCACCTAGAAGGCACCGAAAGTTGAGGGCTTTCGCGTGTCGGGCCCTGGGAGACGACGCTCGTTCGACACTGCTCCGACGCTTTTCTGGGTGCTCGAAGTTGCTTCTGGCACGTGGTCCTCAAGCACCATGGGAGCAACACAACGCTAGACCACCGGGAGGCGTGCGAAGGTAGCCGCGCTTCGCGCGTCGCGATCCGGGCTAGAGCGGCCGCCTTCTTCTCCAGGGGGGGCGGCCCGAGGCCGCGAGGGCGCGGAGGTGGTTGCGCGCCGCGCATTTCGCGGGGCGCGGGGCGCGACGTCGGGTGGCCTGCTGAAATTTGGGCATCTCGCTCCTCGCTCCTCTCTCTCTCTGTCTCTCTCTCTCTCTCTCTCTTTCTCTACATTATACATATTTCAGTTTCTGTCTTTCTCTCTCCTCTCTCATTCTCTCTCTTCCCCCCGTCCTCTTCTCTCCTAGCCTGCCCTAGCACGATGGAGTCTCATTCCCATCCAATGGGAGGCTGGCAGTCTGCACCCTGGGGTCTTCATACGCGGAGGCACTGACAAGAGGTACAGTCAACCCGCACAATGAGGATGGGCAACCTTGCCAAGGGCACCCTTGCATCCTTGCCTCCTCGGTCCATCCTTGGCCGCCTTCGCTGGCCGCGCCCCGCTCGCAAAGCGCCAACATGGCCTTCCACGGCCCTTGCACCCTCATCGTGCATCCTTATGATGGGCTCAGAACCCGACTGTCGGCGCGCAGTAGACGGGCAGTGGCGAACAACTGGCGGGGGGCGGTGTCGATCAGGACGCTTCTTTTTGCAGGCCCCTGACTGGGGGCGACATCCCGCCAGGGCACCTCGGACACGGCACCGCACCCCTGAAATATACAAACATCACAACTCGCAGAGGGCAGATCCCGAGGAGGAAGGAGGAAGAGGAGGAGGAGGAAAAGGAACAGGAGGAGGAGGAGGAGGAGGAGGAGGAGGAGGAGGACGAGGACGATGACGAGGAGAAGAAGGAGGAGGAGGAGGAGGAGGAGGAGCGGGAGGGAACGGGGAGGCGGAGGAGACCAGTTGACACGAGGAGCTCTTCCCGTGTGGGCATGCGCAGCGGCACGGCCAGGCCCGCGGCCACGGGCCGCGGGCAGCACCTCCCCCCGCGCGTCGGCGGCCCGTCCGTCTCGCGGGAGGGCCCACGGTCAGGAGGAGATAAAACATGCAGACACAATTCATCGTCGGGTCCCAGGAAAATATGGGAAACTGTGGGAAGTGGGGGGGAAGACGAAAGCCTAGAAAATATGGGAAAATATGGGGAATCCTTATTGCTGTGTGCATTCATTCGGGCCATTTGCGAGCAGAAACTCTGCGAGTAGTGGAACGCGCCTGTCCAGATGCTGGGCGGCCCCCCCGGGCTTGGCATCGCTCGGACGTGAGCATGTTTTCTCGACAAGGACCATCGAGGAGCATCCTGGATTATGCCCCCCCAGAAATCAGAGGAGGAAGAGGTACCCATACCTCTACCCTTCCCTCGTTTTCTCCTTCTTGGCCTCCTTGGCGGCCATCGTCGCCACCGCTGGATTCGCTTCGAAATCCTGGTCAGATCGTTTTTTTCATTCCTTGTCGTGCCGATCAGCGCGGGCCCTCGCACCCCCGCCCTCCCACCCCCATGGAGTAGTTCTTTGGCTGTTTTTTGTCGCCTGTTTCGAGCGGGGGGAGTCTCCCTCAGAGACAGCACTCTTTCAAACAGTCGCAGCAAGCAGAGGTCCAGAGCCAGACCCCCCCCCCTCCCCCCCCCATCCGCCCAATGCCGAAACGCCGAATAAGAAAATGCCCACGTGAGCATGTTTCCTCGACGGGGACCATCGAGGAGCATCCGGGATCATGCCCCCCCTCAAAAAAAAGCAGCACGCACGAGGCCGAAGAGTGCACGGGGAACGGACACCCGAGCGATGGGAGGCAGAGACGCACGCGCAGCGATGGGAGCGCCGCGAGGGAACGGCATCGTCTGCACGGACTTCGGCGCGCAAGCTGCCCGCGCGAGGTCGCGCCCGAGCGCCGCCGTTTTCACGCGGTGTGCCGCGCTGGCGGCCCGCGTAGGCCAGCGCCGAGTGTCGCTGTGTCCTCTCGCGTGAGGCCCTCTTCTGTTCTCACCACCCACCCAAAACACTCCACCCCAGCCCGAAGGCCCAAACTTACCCTCGATTTCCACAGGGGGGGTCGAGGAGCATCGACAAAAACTCATGTGGAGCCCGTACCCCCGTCAACCTGGAACTTGGGTCTTCGGGTTAGGTTTAAGTCGGGCTTGTCCCTCTACAGGAGGAATATTCAAGAATAGTCAAGAAAAAGTCTGGTGACGATTTGTCGACTATGTTTGACTATTGTTGACTATGTTTTGGAATCTTTTTCATTTTTCGTCCAAACTCCGCCTGCAGCAGGACACGCCCGACCTGAGGTCAGGTCGGGGTGGTCCGGTAGGCAGCCACTTTCGTCGCGCGGAGGCCGCGTGGCAGGCCGACGCCCGAGGCCTGTCCGCGCTGCCTGCTGTGGTCGCCCGTGCTTCGCGGGGGCTCCCCTTCGTGTCGGCTTTCCCCGGGAGCGGGCACCGAGAGAGGCCGCCCGTGGCTGCCGTGGCGCCGTGAAGAAGCAGCCTCCTTCTAAGAAGCCTTCCCCCCTGCTCCTCCTCCTCCTCCTCCTCCTCCTCCTCCTCCTCCTCCTCCTGCTTCCTCCTCCTCCTCCTCCTCCTCCTCCTCTTCCCTCTTCCCTCCTCCCACCCGCCTCCTTCGAAGGAGGCCTCCTTGTGCGCGCCGCCAGCCGTGGCCGGGGCTTCCTTTTTCTGCTTGCTGCACTGCCCGTGTTGGTTGGGATGCCCAGCACATGGGCTCCTCGGGAGTGGACCGGGAAGGGCTGCCAGTGCCCTGCGTGGTCCCGTGGCACCCAGCAGGGTGGGCTTGGCCGACATCCGCGTCTGGTCGTTTCATAGCAACGAGACGCCGTCCTCGAGCAATGAGCTTGGAGATGCGTCCGAGGCGGGGATTTGTCCATAACCACCGCTTTGGGGATCGATATTCGCGGACCTGCGCAGGCGGCGGATATAGACATATCCGGGTCCCCAGGGGGTAGCAGCCCGCAGTCGCGGATATGAGCGAGGGGGCGGCGGGGACGTCTGCAGTCGGCGAGGCTCTGAAGAAGCCCGCCGTAGGCGCCTCATTTTTACAAGCTGTACAACGAGCCCGCCGCAGGCGCCGACTTTTCGTTAAAGCAATGTGGGTGGGTCGTGGGTGGATCGCGGGTGGGTCCGTGGTGGGTCGCGGGCAGGTTCGCGGGTGAGTCGCGGGTGGGTCGCGGGTGGGTCACGTGTGGTTCGCGGGTGGGTTGCGGGGGGGTTGCGGGCGGATCGCGGGGTGGGTCGCGGGTGGGTCGCGGGCGGGTCGCGGGGTGGGTCGCGGGTGAGATCGCGCGTGGGTCGCGGGCGGGTAGCGGGGTGGGTCGCGGGTGGGTCGCGGGCCGGATCGCGGGGGGGACGGCGCCAAACAACAAACAAACAACATTATCAACACTATCAACAACAACAACAACAACAACAACAACAACAACAACAACAACAACAACAACAACAACAACAACAACAACAACAACAACAACAACAACAATCATTTTACCCGAACGCGTGGTGTTCTCCCCAGTGCCAGGGTTTTCATACGACACCAGGCAATACCCCCACTTCGTGGGGGGGCATTACAAGCTCTACCAAATATCCAAACGACTCTTCGCGACCACCCAAACCCAGCTTCCCGCCCTATGACGTTGGGACACTTCACTTCGTGGCGTGCGGACGACCGTGGCTACTACACTGGCGTGGGGTACACACCCACAGAACTTGGTCACTTATTCGAAGCAAATTGTGCGTACATGATTGGCCGGTGGGCGAAGACGAATTGTGAAGCATGGTGCCATGTACAGGGATGATGGCCCTGGCAGGTGCGCAACCGTTGTCGCAGAAGTTCGAAAAAGTTGCTCGCAAAAGCCCGTTTGACAGAAATGTTTAAAAAGTGTTGGGTTTCCTACGAATCCGCAAGAGCGCGCGGGATGAGATTTTGACATTTTTTTGTTGAAAAACCATTGGTTTTTTGATGTTTTTATGTTAAAATCGCTCCGAACACTAAGCTTTTGGAAGGATTTCGTCTTGCGCGCGCGAATGTCCACTTTACCTTATTTTTTGCAAGGGATTCTTGAAATTTGATTATATTAGAACAAGAAATGTCATTTTATAGTGTTTTTTGCAAGGGAAAGCGGGGGGGAACAAAACAACCGGATCTTGATCACATCGAATTACCTGAGGCTTCCTCACGAAAATGATGAAAATGTGGCTGCGGCCTAGGCGCGGCGGGGGGGCGCGCACCAGGGGGCCCAACAATAATTATTCTTTAGAATTAATAATGTTCAACAACAACAACAACAACAACAACAACAACAACAACAACAACAACAACAACAACAGCAACAACAACAACAACAACAACATTAACAACGAGAATCCCCGCATCGCGGAATCCCACTTCAGCCACGCACCCAGGGACAGTGAATGACCGTTCGGCCCCCTTCACTCTGATATCCATATCCATCGCCCGCTGGGTCCCCAGGCCGTCGGTTCCCAGCCGGAGGATATGGATAAACTCCCGCCTCGCAGTGTGGGCTTTCCATGCCTGCCGCCCGACTCCGAAGTCTCCAGTTATAGCCGTCGATGCCCGCATCTTTGTCCGACATACTCACTGGGATAGCGTGTTTGCCGAGGTCGCGCCGGAGCAACACGCTGGCAGATGACTGTGCTGCATCGAAGTTCTTCTGTAATTAGTTGCCCTCGCCGCTTCGGCGGCCACTGTTGCGACCAGGTCAGGTTGACGACCCTCGTGGAGGAATTGTCGGTGACACTAGCGCCAAGGCCATCAATGAAAAGGGAAGGGTGGTGGTTGACGCCATTGCTGGTCGCCAGCCAGAGGGAACGCAGCACCCTGCAGAACTGCACCGTGAGCGCTTGCTCGATGCTATTGTTTGCTCCACATAGGTTGTCAGTTTGAAACATATGAAGGGGAGGACGAGGAAGAGGGGGAAGTGAAGAAGGGGAGGGATGAGGAACATTACGATAGTCGATTGACAACAACCAGCGTAAACATAATACTTTTGGAGCTGCGCTCGGATTTCTTGGATCGGCGCTGGCCTCCCCTGGCGCGCAGAGGGTTACTCGCGCGGATCCAAATCCGCGCGGATGTCTGGAAGTTTAGGTTTTGGCAGTTTGTTGTTTTTCTAGAGAGTGACAAGGAGTACTACGATATAGCGGGGAGTACGTGGAGGCTGGCGCACGCACATCACCAGAGAAGTCGAGGGCGATTGGTTTGACGCGTGTCGAAAGGACTAACACCTGGGGCAAACACGCGGCGACGGCACAGGAGCGACCGTCACCAGTTCTGCGCAGGGTCTTCCAGCGCGAGACCAGCTGGTCGAGCATTGATGCCCAGCTCCTCCTGCTGCTCTCCTCTCTTCGGCGGCTCGGAGGTGAACGTGCACGTGTACGAGCGACGCTTTCTGGGCGGCTACCGTCGGATATCCCGAAGGCCAATGCCCGACCTCCCAGAACTCAAGCCATGCCAGTCCCCACAAAGGCCAGACACGTCCCATAGGTAGGACGGGGGAGAAGGAAGGATGTAGAGGTCCTCCTCTTCCTCCTCCTCCTCCTCCTCCTCCTCACCTTCGCCCTTCCTCTCCTACCGATGGTCGTGGTGGTGGAAATCAGCCCATCAATACATTTTCTGGCGAGAGCTTGTGAATGGCTTGTCGGGCGCAGGGAAGGGAAGCAAGAATAGGAGCAGAAACCGGAGGAGGTGGCTGAGGCTGGGAAGAAGGGGGCGAGGGAGGGGTAGGATGAGGAGATGGATGATGATGACGATGACCATGACGGTGGCGATGACGATGACGATGACGGTGACGACGATAGGGATGCTGATGATGCTGATGATGCTGATGATGCTGATGATGATGAAGAAGAAGCAGATGACGATGATGCTGATGATGATGGCATGATGCTTACGGTGATGCTGCTGATGATGGTGGTGGTGGTGATGATGATGGTGATGATGATGACGATGATGATGACGATGCAGATGGCTGATGATGCTGATCATGGTGATGATGATGATGATGCTGATGATGATGTTGATGACGTTGATGATGGTGATGATGATGATGGCCGTGACGATGACGGTGACGATGACGGTGGCGATGATGATGATGATGATGATGATGATGATGATGATGATGATGATGATGATGATGATGATGATAATGATGATGATGATTATGGTGGTGGGGGTGGTGGTGGTGATGACGACGGTGACGATTACGGTGACGATGATGATGCTGATGATGATGATGATGATGATGATGATGTCGATATTGTTGATGGTGATTGCGATGATCGTGATGATTATGATGATGTTGATGATGACGATTACGGCGACGATGACGGTGGCGATGCTGATGATGACGCTGATGTTGATGTTGATGATCATGATCATGGTGGGGGTGGTGGTGGTGATGATGCTGATGATGCTGATGATTATGATGATGGTGATGATAATGATGCCCATGCTGATGCTGCTGCTGATGATGATGATTATTATTATTATGCTGATGATGGTGGTGGTGATGAGGATGATGATGGCAGGATGGCGGGTTTGAGGTATGGAAGGGAGGGGGACTTGAAGACCGTCCAGCTCTTGGCGAAATTGGCGAGTGGGATGAGCTGGGAGGCACAAAAGGAGATTACGCCTTTGACATGCTATGCTACGTTCTGGAAGCGTTAGAGGGTCCTGCTTCGATTGCCCCGAGCAGAACTCCAGCAGCATCCACGTGCTCTACCAGGACGGTCCACTATTCTGTTAGAGAGGGTTTATTGGAGATGTCCTCGAATGTTTTTGACTCTACGTAGCCCTTCCTGATATGGTCAGAGTAGGTTGGCTCGGAGGATCGCGCAGCATCGGCGATGCATCGGCGATGCGGCGCGATCCTCCGAATCTACTCGGACCCCATGCTGTAAGGCCTCTGTTGACGGTCGCTTGTCGAAAACTCGAACCGCTTGGTCCCCCGCCGACTTGACACAGCAAGTGAGCGAAGGAGCATCTTGGCGTCGACGTGGAGATCTTTGGAGTTTGAGGAGCGTCGGTGCCGTCACGTTGACTACGCCTCAGCAAAATCGCGTCAATCGGAAACAGGCCTCTCGGCGCCGTGCAAGGTCGTCTTGCGACGGTTCCTCTAACTTGGCAGGCCCGAGACGCCAAGATGGGCGCTCCTGGAGCGGTCCCCATGGCCAACTGTGCAGCTTGTCCTGAGAAGCGCAAGACGCGGCCTCAGTCCCCATCCAAGCCCTCTGCATGGCCGGGCGCCCTCACCTCCCATGCAGCTGCGCCTTCGCCTCGGCCTGTCTTCCTCCCGCCCTCGCTCTTGCTCCGCCACTGCAGCCTGTCGCCCCCTCGCCCAGCCTCGGTGCTCTGTGCTCAGTGCCCAGCGCTTGTGACGCGGTGCTGGGTCTTCCGTTGGCACTACTTGCTGCCCACTGCCCACCTACTCATTCTCTGCAACTCACAGCTCACCACTCACGACCTGCTCCCCGCCGCTCACTGCTACCCACTGCACGTCACACGCCCCCCCCCCCACACTGCTTCTTGCCCATGGCCGGCCACACTTTTCTTCGCCCCTGCCTCCAGGGCCAGTGCGGGAGGGAGCCGGGGGACCCAGACCGTCCGAGCACCGCACCGGACCTCAGGCGGTGAGCCCAGCCGTGCGCGCCAAGCTGGGCCCGCGGAGCTTCCATTTCGTGGGTCTCTTGGGTCCGCTTTTGAAGAGGTTGCCAGGATCCTCTGACCCTGAGCCTCGACGAAAAGCGCAGCGACATGAACATGATTTGTCGGAGCTCCGCGCGGACTTCTTGAATCTGCCCTGGGCCCCCCTGGCGGTGTCTCCGGCGCCGCTCCGTGCGCCAGGGAGGAGGGTTCGGCTCCGATCCAAGAAATCCGCGCGGTTTGGTTTTATTCAGTTTTCTCTGACCCCGAGTGAGCTACGACCCGTTGCGCGTCATGTTGCCCCCCATAACCTGGACCGCGTACCTGGGCCGCGCTCAACCGCTTGCACAGTTTGCGCAAATGGCGCGCGAGGGTGAGCAGCAACACGCCGTCTCAAGAGGGAGGGGGCATGAAATATTGGCGTCCAGGGTTCCATGCACTACGATGCCCTTGTGCCGTGCTGAGCTTGGTGGTTCATGATGCCGCCGCCAGTCGCGGACAACATCGCGCTGGTGACGACGCCAGGAACATGTCCATTCTCTCTTCATCCCTGTCCGCGGCTTGCCATTCGCTTACCCTTTTGCTTGTGGCAGTTCGTGCGGCCCCTCTCACACTGCGCTTTCCCATACCCTTCTGCGTGCACCTTCTAGATCTGCCGATCCCCTCAGACTTCACAGTAGGTCTTCCAACATCTTTCACCACTTCCAGACGGGCCTGTGGAGACCGGGCGAATGATGCGAGCGCGGGTGGGTGTGCGCAGGGTTCGCGTGGTTCCTCTGCGGGACCTTCCTCCTCATATTTGCCCAGTTGGGCCAACGCGGAGTCCTGCGCAGCATTGCGTGTCCCTCTGCTCCGCGCCCTCCACGTCACCCCGCCCGACAGCCCCCCTCCCAGCCACTCCCACGCGCGCCGAGACGATGCCCGGTCTGCACCTCCGTAGTACAGCCCTGTCCTGCCCCCCCCCCACGCGATCCACCCACGATGCTTGTGAGACCATCCAGAGTAGGTCTGCCGCTTGTTTCCTGGGGCCCATCTCGGTAGCCCTGCGAGAGCGTCTTGGACAGTCGCATGTGGCATCCTCGAGCGGTCTAGCGTGAGTCCAGTCCAGCCCGCGAGGTCCTCAAGCCTGCCCGAGACATTCTCCCACTGGCCCAATGCTTGCACTGAGCTCGCGACCGTTACTGCATCTCAATTGATGACGCTTCCGGAGTTTTTTTCGCAATGGCTATGTGGCAAACTGTTGTGTCCAAGTTTGGGCCAAGCTACTGGTTTGTGTATTCCATCAGTTGTTGCAGACACAAGCGGGGGAGTATTGGTGGGCTAGATTCCAAATGCTGTGTCTCTTTGGCCAATTTAGGGCCCCCTGGGGCCAACCAAGGCCATCCTGGGGGTTCCTGGTGTAGGGTTGGGGGCCTCGGAGGCCATCCTGGAGCGTCTTGGGGCCTCTTGGGGGCATCCCTGGGTCTCTGGACCCTCGTAGGTCATCCTGGCGGCCTCTCGCGCTCCCCTTCTGGACGTCTTGAGAGCTTCTGGATACTTTTTTGTTCCATTTTGGCCACCTCTGGGCCCATCCTGATGCCTTGTTGGAGCCTTCTTGGCCATCTCGAGGCTCCGCCTTTTTCTGACTTGGGGTTCGGCTCTGTCGGGCGCCTTGTGGACCCTCCTGGGGCCGTACTGCGCCGCAGAGCTCATAGTAGACATGCGTACGTGCATACGCATATGTCAGCCAGCGTGGACCCCAAATACTGTGTTTCTATCTATGTATGGTGTGCAATCTATGTCGAGCAATCTATGTGGTGCAATTGTTTTTTACCCATGAGTTGACACATCCCATGCTCTTGCAAACATCCCACCCACCCACCCGCAACTTGGTTTGCAAAACCCCTGCTGTGGCGATTGCGATGCATGCTTGGCGTTGGCTGGTGCATCTCTGCGGCCGCGTCAACCCTAGCACGCGCGCGCAGCGGTCAGCTAGTTTGGCGCCACCGACGCGGCCGCGGTGGCGCTGACCGCTGGGCGCATCCCAGCGGGCACTTCACTGCGGGTCGGCGACTTGGGGGGGCGCGGTGTCATGGCAACGCCGACTACGGTAGACACGATGATGATAGTGGCGATGCTGGTGATGATATTCGCACCGATGACGGCGTGGCCAGTGCGGGCGCCGATGCTGATCACGTCGACGGCGATGACGGCGTCCTCACATTGGTGATGAAGGTTTTGGAAGCAAGTTCGACATTCGCGCGCGGCCGACGCGCGAGAGTGGCCCGCATGGTTTTACTTGACACGGATCGTGCCCGCCAGCACGCGCGCAAGGGCGTGCGAATGATGTCGGCATGCGGCGCCAGAGGCCCGTTTGGCTGAACTCAGTGAACATTTTGATTATACATTTACATACACATATATACCCATTCATATTTATAAAATAAAGAATTCGCAAGAGCGGTCGCGCAATGTTTTTTTGAAAGTTGATGTTGCGAAAACTTCTGTTTTCGAGTTTTTTTTTTTGATATTCGGCTTGACATCGCTACACAACCGTGGGTTTTGTTGAAGAATTCCGGCATGCGCGCGACGACGTGCGCGTGTACACTTCGTCAATTGTTTTGGAAAAGGATTCTCGCGACGGCACGCGCGCAAAAGCGTTCTAACGATTTCGACATGGCGCGCGACGCCAGTATGTTAGTATTTTATGATCGTGTTGAAACAACGTACGGTTTTCATACGAACTTCGCGAAAAAAAACGCGCGCGACAACATTTTTCGAACATCTGTGTTGCGAAACCTTTTGTTTTTATATGTTTTTTTGGACACCCGATTTTGAAACCCTTCCGAAACCAACGGTTTTTGAAGGATTTCGGCCTTCGCGTGCGACGACGCGCGCGTGTGCACTTCGTCCCATGTTTTGCGAGGGACTCATGACAACTGATAAAATTTGATCAACGAGTGTGCGCGCATAGTTTTTTCCAGAGGATGGCGTGGGGGTCGAAAACGGTTGTGGACTGATCAAGCCGGGGGGGTGGTAGTGGTGGTGGATCCAAATTTCTCACGAACAGAGAGTCTATGTGATACAGTATATGTGGTGCGCAAGTCATGAAGTACAACCGATGCGTTGCGGGAGTCCAGGGGGATGTGTTCGTCTCCGGCCTGGGGACGCCGCCCTCGCGTGGCTTTTCAGGGAGGACGCGGGCGAATCCGACCTGGTGGAGATCTCTCTCCTCCCTGGAACCCTGGGGGGCTCCACGTGGATTTTTTGTCAGAGGGCGGGAAATCCCAGGAATCCCAAACATCCAACTGAAATCATATGGTTTCTGTGGTTACCGCGCCAGAGGTCCCAGGCATCCCAATGACTACAGGGTTTGATGGCTCCTCGTGTCTGCGGGATGGTTCACAAGCTTTGGATTTCTCCTGCGTGGGAAAGCGTGGTTCTCATCTTCGGTAGTGCGCTGTTGTTGGGCGTTGGCCAGCCGAGCAGCTAGATCGCAACGCAATCCGCCAGCAGACGTCTGGGAAATCTGAAAGCGAGGAGAACGGGGAAAAGGGAGAGGAAGAGAAGGATCAGCAACGGAAAAAGGGCAGTACAACCGAGTCTAAGAAAGAAGGTGACGAACGGGTGTTGGGAGGGGGGGCTGTCCATGTCCATGTGTGTATGTATGTATCTATTCATGTTCGTTTGGGTATGTATGTGTGTGTGTGTGTGTATTTGTTCATGTCTATCTTGTTCACGTATATGTATACGTATATGTATATGTGCACATGATGATGTTTATGTGTATGGAAATGTAGATGTACATGTATATGTACATGCAACATGTAGGTGTATATGCAGAACTACATGTACATGTTTATGTTCAGGTTTATGCATATGTGTATGCATAGCTGTTTGCACATGCGTGAGTTTTGTATACGTATTTCCACATGTCTAGGTATAACTATTTGTGTATGTGTACGTCTAGGTATAAGTTTATGTAATTGTATTTGCACGTGTAGTCTCATACATACATGTGTATACGTTTATGCAGATGTAGACTGATATGCTCATGCATACGTCTGTGTATATGTATATGTACATGTATATGTACATTTGTATGCACATCCATACGTATATGTATATGTAGGTATATGTATATGTTTGTGTATATGTACATGTATATGTCTATGGCTATGTCTATGTATGGATATGTGTATGTATATGAATATCTATGTGTATATATGTATATGCATATGTATGTGTGTATATATATATGCATACGTATATGCATATGTACTTGCCTCTGTATATGTATATGTATATGTATTTGTATATGTATATGTGTATGTATGGTGGTCTATGCATATGTACACGCATGTGTTTAGGTACATGTATATATATATATATGTATACGTGTATGCATATGCGTATATACATGTAACTAGGTATATGTATGCGTATGCAGTTGCACATATATATATGTGTGTGTATGCATGCGTATATGCATGTGCAAATGATTTTGTGCATATATCTGTATAGGTATACGTATACGTATATGTATGGGGATATCAGTATGTAAACGTATATGTATATGTATGTGTATATGTATATGTATATTTTTATGTATATGTATATGTATAGGTGTATCTATCGGTTTATATATATATATATGCATGTGTATATGTATATGTATATGTATACGTATATGTATACATATACGTATATGTATATGTATATGTATATGTTTATGTATTTGTATATGTATATTTATATGTATATTTACCTATATAAATATGTGTATGTATGTGTATAGTTCTATGTTCATAGTTGTATGTGTATGTGTATGTGAATGTGTATCTGTATGATTATGTGTCTGTGTATGTGTAGGTGTGTGTATATGTATATGTATATGTATATGTATATGTGTATGTATATGTATATGTATTTTCATATGTATGTGCATATGACTATAATTCACTATCTTTCTATTTATCTATACATAAAGGGCTTCGCTTTCTGCCGCCAGCCCCCTATTACTAGTGCGGACGGCTGCGCGTGGGTCTCCTTGGGGCCTCTTGGGGGTCTCCTTGGGGCCTCTTGGGGGGCCTCTTGGGGGTCTCCATAGGGCCTCTTGGAACCAATCTTTTGGGTCTCTTCGGGGTCTCCTTGGGGCCTCTTGGGGCCTCTTGGGGCCTTTTGGGGCCTCTGGGGGTCTCCTTGGGCCCTCCTGGGGCCTTCTCGGGGCAGATTTTTTTTTTCTTCCAACAAAGCCTAAGTCACTCGTGAGGTGTCAAGGCACCTCGTAACGGCCGCGCACGAAAGGACAGTATTTGAGCCAACGCCTGAACAGCCTCGTCCATGGCGATGGTTTCTGCTAGAAATGAAGATACAGGGTCAGACATAAACGTTCCAGCCTGAATTACAAAGGAACGCGTTGTGCTCTGACCACAGACAGTAACAGCTTCGATGCACCACGCGGCCGCGGAGCACTGCCTGGCGCGAGTACCACCGTCAGAGTGCACGAGGAAATTCGCAGCACAGGACAGCTCGGCACTGTCAGGGAAAGTTTTCGCCCAAGACTTGCGTTCGTCCATGGTGTGGTTGACTAAATGGTCGGGCCTCTCTTGGGACCGTCTTAGGGCCCCTTTGGGTCGTCTGGGGCGCCTCTTCGACCGTCTTGGGGCCCTCTTCGGCCGTCTTGGGGCCGTCTTGGGCCGTCATGGGGGCTTTTACGGCTGTCGTGGGTCGATTTTGGGAACCTCTTGGTCCGTCTCGGATCGGAAAGCCGAAAAGGCGAGAAGGACAAAAATCTTCACAAACGGTTGGAAAATCGTTGATTTTTGCTTCGTGGGGCCTCTTGGGAGGCCTCTTGGAGGCCTCTTGGGCCGTCTTCTTGGGAGCATCTTGGGCCGCCTTTGGGCCATCGTGGGACATCTTGGGGCCATCTTGGGTCTTCTTGGCCTCCTGAGGCTCTCTTCGGAGTCTCGTCGGGCAATCTTGGAGGCCTCTCGGGCCGCTCTGGCCGCGCGGTGGCGTCACCATGAGAATCCTGGGGTGGCCCGGAGCAGCCTGGATTCGAGGTTCACCCCCTTCCTTGGCTATTTGGTGACGCTGCGGGGCCCCTCAGCAGATAGTGAACAGGAGGCAGGAAACAGGAGTGGAGAGACAAAAGGCCAAACAACAAATGACAACACATAGCACATGACAGCAAACCGCACACATCTTCGCATCGCCGTGCGCCCGTTTGTCTGTCCAGACTGTGATTGCGCTTTTGTGTCTTCGCGCGCTCTTGAGTCT